ATCTTTCTTTTTACTGAAAGCTCTTTGTGTCTAATATGCACATTCCTGACCTTTTCTAATTATACCTTCCATCTATGAATGTAGCATTATGAAGGAGTCTTCCAGACTCTCACTATCTTGTGGCATTTCCTGTATCCTCATTCTGTAAAATCATGTCCTGCTCTTGATACAGACCACAGTTTGGTCTCACTGGTCAGTCTGCTTACTGCTGCCTTTATGAGAAGGAATTCATGTTTGTTGACCACCATCTTGATAGCATACACTTTGACACCACCAGTTCTCCCCCAGTCCAGGAGGAGCCTCACATGGAGCAGGCAGATGAACTGAGGTCCAGGACGGTATGGCATGTCCTTTGGTACTCACCCCATAACATAGGATGTAGAAAAGGCTGTGGCCACTGAAAAGGCCTTCAGATACTGTATGCTCACTGAATACCTTTGAAATTTGCTCCTAGTACCTGTCTCATGGACTCTCCTAGTTTACAAATTGTACTCAAATTTCAAAGTATAGTTTAAATAGAATGTGACTCTGAAGACTATAAAGCACTTTGTTTCATCTTTTCAATCTCTAAACACATATGAAAGTCATAGAATAATTTAAATATCTCTTCTAACGAAGCATGAATACAATGATAAAAGTAAAGTAAATACCTATTTTAGTAATCAGGTCAATATCACACAAGAACTTAGGTCTATATACCTGCATGGGGAAATGAAGAAGGAACACATTAGTTAATTCTACTATGAAATTTGTAATTCTGAGCATAAGTCAGTTGTGTTGCTACTTTGCCATGATGCTAATTCAGCTTATTTCAAATGCACCATAAAAGTAATCATGTCTGTGAAGAAAAAGATATTGTATTGAATGAAAATATCACTTTTTAGTTGACCCCTTTATATAGCAACACTGAATGGAAACATGAAAAAATATGCATTTGAGAATGAAGGCATTGGGGAATGAATAAATCCTTACAAGTAGACATGATGACTGATAAATCACACATGCACACATCAGTCACAAATACAATTAATATTTTAAGTGGGAAAATAATACAATCGGCTGTCTGATGAAGGAGAGCTGAGATGAGTTTTTGTGTTCAAATTCAAGGTCAATAAAAGGGGAACTGAGCTGGCATCCTCAGGCCCTGAAGAATCACAGATGGGCTATGTTACCTCTGCCAGGCTGTGTGGTGAATGCTTCCTTGTCACCTTGTCCATCCTTTACCTTCTGTATGGGATTTTCTTCACAACCTCCTGACATTTTTCAGCTGAGGCTATGACACAATGAAGGGCAGAGAGCCATGAATGTAGTGGTCACGTGTCTGTTGACTTCCTACATATTTCTCCAAATCCCTATGATTATACTGATGATTCACAGGAACCCTAGAAATGCTGTATCCACCTTAACTGAAAAGAGCTCTGTGTCTTGGGACAGTTGCTTTCCTCAGACAGTGAAACTTAACTGGGCCTCTAGGAGCTCACCTTCTGCACTACTAGGGCTATATCTAGAGAGTCCGCATTTTGGTTGAATTATTCACTATTAATCTTTCATATACTCTTCAATGAGTGCTGCAACATTCATAAAATACTGTTTAAAGAAAGATTCAAAAACTAATTTTGATGAAGTTCTTTACTTTAAATGCTAATGATGCTAACTCCTCTAACTCTAGAAAGAGAGTAAATGGAGGTGTGACTATTTGTTCCTTGCTGTGTGACTTTTAGGAACATAATTTGGTCTGTATTACATTTTCACTGGAAATCAGTGCTCTGCTTCATAGAGCAGATACATGTAATACACTTAAGAGATGTCTATCTCAGCATCTGCAAATGACATGTGAACAAATATTTAGAAGTGTTAAAGTAGGATTATACCACAGTTCTAAAATCCTGGCATATAAAGAAGATAACCAAAAGTTCTTTAATGAGCTCAGTTGTAAGGACTAAATGATTTCTAAGGATGAGACAATGCAAATACACAAATGTTCAGTGGAAGGTATAAGTATTATAAATCATTTTCAAATTTTATTAAGAAATAAAGCTTGAGCATATTGTGGAATACAAATCTAATGTATATAAAACAATTTTTACTCTAATTCAGAAATCATTAACATTTCATGAAAAGAAATATAAAGTGATTATTTATTTTTGAAGAGACTTCAGATTATAGGTAAGTATTTAAAAGTATGTTAAATGTTTTTAAAATTACCTTATATATACCCTGATGTACAGAGGAGCATAGGGCATCTCAATACTTAAGATGGGTATGTTCAAAGGATAAACTCTATTTGTGTCCGTATTTTCCTATCATGAAAGGAAATTGCAAAGTAAAAGTAGCTGGTGTCTTAGTATAAATATATACACATGTATATAATACTCATATATATATATAGTATAAATATGTCTGGGTAAGCATATATAATTTTAAAGAGTAAATACATTATTTGTGATATGTGAAAGGAAAATTTCCAATAAAATAAATTTAAAATGCAAATAGACTAAAAAAATGAAAGAAATCCATTGTTATATTAAGCCTGACATAAAAATGAAATTAGAGATAAAATTGGTTTTTTTGCATATACTATCTGAAACCACAACTATGAAATGCTGAAAATTGTTGAAGAAATGTCATGTATTAGGGTGGTGTGGAAATTGTTTGCCAATTACCCACAAATATCTGAAAGTGTAAGTGGGCAGCAGCCAGATTATCAGTTCATTTTCCTTCTTTAAAGATAGTTTTGTCATCAAACCTCAGGCAATTTTGAAGGGAACAAAATCTCTTCAGTTTCATCATTATTCTACAGACCTCAAGCCCATACCTTTCATTTTTCCATCAGTCTTTTACATTTCTTTGATTACTATGAGAAATCCCTAATAAGTACAAAAGAACTATGAATGTTTTCAGTTTAGCTAGAGAGGTGTCATAATAAACATATTTTTGAGTATGGCTACTGGTACATAAAGAAAATTTAACTTATATTTCACAACATCTTGTAGCATTTAATTTCTTACAAGTGATTTCCAAAATTGAATGGCAGTTCTGGGATTCTGTCCAAAAAGTTTCACCCCTGCCAAGATCCTCACTATATTTTTGCACCTAGTTCCATCATTGAATCATTCCATTTGGTTGCATGATCATTTTGCACCATTTCAACTAGTCAAGTATATACTTATATTGCTCCTCTGTTCATCATCTGAATGAACTAGTTCTGCATTCCCTGTGTATTGCTCCAATTCACTGGAACAGGAACATTGGCTCCCATGGTCAATATCAAAATCATTGTCATCTTCATCATCCATGCATAAGTAATCTGATGATTCAAATTTGACCTTCTCCAAAACTTGAAAATCCTGTTTTTCATGTGCCATTGTACTGAATTCAGCTAATTCTATCAGAAAAACCAAAAGAAAATTTTTTAAGTGCACAGAAATTTACCAATGAGCATTTCATTGATATACCCCAGCAGTTGCTGCTATGGACCTCTCATACACAATTTGCCATTCCATTGGTAACTGGGTGAATGCATAGATGAGATTTTGCTTCTCCCAGGCACAGGTTCTATGAGGAAACACCCACATTCCATTATGGTAAAATGCATGTTTACTTAACAGAAGAGTAGTGTGGGTGTATTTTACCCCTTGTGATGCTCAGATAAACATACTCACAATCCCTTAGATGGAGGATTATGAGGGTAAAAATCCTGGTTTAACATTTTGTACATGTGTACACAACTTGCTATTCATCATGCCAAGTGAGTAAATACTAAGATTGCTTCCTGTGTTACCCCAGGCACCTCTACTGAGACACACAGCAGGCTACTGTTATGTAAAGTACAAATATACAGAAGAAAATTATGGGAGGATTTGTTGTAACCTTATGTTTTTCTTCTTTAGGTGTAGGACTCAAAATTCTACCATTTTCTACAGGCTGTTTGAGGAAATTTAAAGATAAGTTTACATTTAAGTCATATCATAAAAGTTATATTTCATTATTTACAATGTTTTTAAAATAGTAAAAATAAAAATAGGTATCAGGGAATATGTAAGGGCATGATTAAATATGTGTGCCTACATCTCAATAAAAATATCTGGTTCATTAATTAGTCAAAATGGCAATAAAATGTTGTCAATAAGACTGAATAAGAGCATAAACCACAGAATATTATTGAAAAACATCCTTTTATTTCCCTAGATAATTAAAGGTGAAGTTCAAAAGTTATTCTGATAAAATCTAGGGTCTCTATGTACATTACAGAGAAGGCCAGGACAAGTCTTGCATTGTGGATACTAGTGAATAAGCCAAAAGAAATCTGTCCTTGCCCAGTGAGTTCTGCTACAATTTGAATAGATTCCATAGTTTCTTTCAGACTCAGATTAAAAGCACTGTCCCAACTTGAGTTAAATTCAGAAATTCTGTACTTTTTGAATTACATTGAGGCACAAAGACACACCTGGGTCTGCTACATTGGAAATGCCCTGGCCCTGCTGAACACTGTCTGCTTGGGTGAACAGGGTCTCTCTGAGAGGATGCAGCTCAGATGTTGCCTCCTGGTGGTTTTGCAGGTAGATGTTCTGCCTTAGCACATGCCAGTCTGCTTTTTGAGAAAGATATAAACACTTTTCATATCAGTAGTTCACATGGTTTCCACATACAGGACCCACTGTGCTGTCTCAATATTGTTATTCTGTTTAGGAGGTAGCTCTTTCTTTTTGGTAGTAGCCATAAAACTCAGGACCTTATGTTTGCCAAGCAGGCACAGAACCACTGAACTACATCCCTGACCCTCAACATTTGCATTTGTATTCAATAAATGAAACACCAAAATTGGTTAATAAATGAACCAAAATGAAATCTGATCACAAGTCAACCAATATTTTCAGAAATCTAAACCACCAAAGGAGAGATGTTTTCTCATAGAAGCACAGCAAGTGATTCCATGACATACACATTGGCCTTGTGGGCTGCAGCTTCCAAGCTCAGGTGTCTCTTGGGGTATGTTCTTCCTAGAGCCACACATAGATAGGTGCATGGCAGGCCTCCCCAAAGTGAGAAATGAAAAGTCTCTGTGCCACCCTGGAGGTCCTGTGCCCTGAACAGGCACAAGTTAATGTTAGATGAATGGCACCTGATGAGCAGTCAGGGCTGGCAGCAGCTTCTGCAGACCCCGTTTCATGTCCCCATTCCTCAGGGTGTAGATGACAGGATTCAGGATTGGAGGCAGCACAGCATAAATCACAGGAGGCAGCCTGGCAATGACTGGGGGTGAATCTGAAGGTGGCCTCAGGTAAACCATCAATGCACTTAGCATAAAAACAGTGAAGACGACAAGATGTGGGAGGCACGTGGAGAAAGCTTTTGACTGACTTTTCCTGGATGGAATCCTCAACACAGTGGAGAGAATGTGAACATAAGAGAACCCAATGCAAACACAACAGGACAGGCCCAGACACAGCCCAATTCCCATGCTGGGATAGACCGACAGGAGTGTGTCAGAGCAGGAAATCTTGAGCAAGGAGGGAACATTGCAGAAAAACTCTGGGATCACACTGGATCCACAGAAGTGCCCAGAAAATGTGCCAGCAGTGTACATGCCTCCAAAGAGGCCCCCCATTGCCCAGGAAACTCCTGCCATCAGCATACAGGCATCACCATTCACAATGGCCTCATAGTGCAAGGGACAGCAGATGGCCACATAGCGGTCATAGGACATGGCAGTGAGAATAAATGTCTCACTTGCTGAGAAGGATGTCATTAAAAGGAGCTGGAAGGCACAGCCTGGAATGGAAATGGAACTGTTGTGAGTCAGACTGTTAAGGATGAACTTTGGGATTGGAACAGAGACCAGGGAGACATCCAGCAAGGATAAGTTCTTCAGGAAGAAATACATGGGTGCTTGGAGCTGTGGGTCCAGGGTAAGGACAGTAACAATGAGAAGGTTACTCATCAAGGCCACCAGATACATCAGCAGGAAGAAAATGCCACAGAGTGTCTGCAGCTCCGGGTCCTCAGAAAACCCCAAGAGAAGGAAACTGGTCACAAAGGTGGCATTCACCATATTAGAGCCTCCTCACTGCCTGTCAAGGTGAGGACATATGAAAAAGGAGAAAAAGTAATAATCAGCCCCCAAACAGTGATATTAAATTCAGAAACATTCAACTGTAAAGGAAGCATGTAACTACTGCATATTAAAAACTTTTCTGTAAAGAACCACACCTTATTTTTCCAGTTTCCAGTTGATGGGTACTTGGGCTGTTTCCAAGCTTTAGCTATTATAAACTGTGCTGCTATAAACATGGGTGCACATATATCACTGTAGTATGATCCTTTTAATTCTTTGTGGAATACACCCAGCATGGGAATAGATGGGTCAAATGGGACCTCTAAGTCTAGTTCTTTGAGGTATCTCCATACTGATTTCCACAGTGGTTGGACCATTCTGCACTCCCACCAACCATGGAAAAGGGATCCTTTCTCCCCACATCCCAGCCAGCACTTTTTATTGGTTGATTTCTTTATAGCGGCCATTCTTTCTGAGGTGAGGTGGAATCTCAGTGTTGTTTGCTGAGGCTATACTCTTAAGTGAAATAAATAGGACACACATGTGTAAATACCAAATGTTTCTCTAGTGTGAGGAAATGAAAGTGCAAATAAGGATTAAAATGAATAATTGATAATTTGAAATAGGAAGAAAAGTTCCAAAGTGGTAGGGGAAGTGGGAGGGGAAGGGGAAAGGAAAGAAGGGAAAGGAAAAATTGTGAGAAAAGAAAAAAAATGAAAACAAAGTCTATGTAAACAGGGAAGGGTGGAGGAGGGGAAGGGTGCACAGGTAGTAGGGAAGAACTAAGAACCAAGATACATCAGGTTCAAGCACCCAATGATAAATGTGAATTTATTGTATACCTAAAATGTACCAATAAAAAATTTAAGCAAATAAAAAAATTGTCTGCCTTTTCTTAAAAATTCTTTCTTTCCTCCCTCCCACCTTCGTTTTTTTTCTTTCCATTCTCTTTGTTATCCTTCCCTCCTCTTTCTTCTCCTCCCTCTCCCATGCCTTTCCTTTTCAGCTAAAGATTGAACTATGTGTGGCAATGCTAACATTAAATGATCTACCACAAAGCTACGTGGCAAATGGCTACTCTTTTTTATATGCAACAATTCATATGAGCAATACATGAAGTAGTTAGCCTTGGTTTTGGTTTTAGTGTTTTGACATTCAGAGTTTTGGGAAGAGTCTTTAGAGTTCATTACTATCCCTAGTAGTGTGTACATATTGTGTACAGTATGTGTTCTCATGTGTTGTTAGGATGATTGACTCACACATACCTTTATATTAATGTGACACAGGCCAATGACTTCCTCTGACCTCATGGATGTGAGCAACAAGATGTGAGTGAAGCTTTGTTGTTCAGGTTCTGTATTATCTCCAGCTTATGTGATCCTAATACATTGAACAGGACTAGGAGAATAAAAATGAATTATTCCACACAGTTCATGTCCTTTGGGTCACACATGTGTATCACAGCTTTTGTATGAAACTTTCTGGTGCTTGATTTGTTTATCAAAGGTGACCGCAATGAATATATTTCTCATTTTCACTGATTATTTTCCCATAATCTCATGGTTTCTGTAATTTACTTTTTAGTGGTATTAAATACATTCTTTCTCTGTTCAGAATATTTCCATAATTTTTTGATTACTAATGCATTTGTCTATTGATTCTTTACTGACAGCACACAAAGTTGGCCCATTTGAATCAGACATGAACTAAATGATAGAGATAATTTTTTCTGGGAGATTTCTGTCCATTGGAATAAAAGAACAAACGAAACAATAAATATGAAAAGATCTGAGGTAGTGACAGGTGTTAAAATCGGAAAAGGTATTATTTTGGAGATTAAGTTTGAGGAAGAAAATTCAATGGGGTGACCCAGGTGCTGATCCAAAAATACAGAGAAAGAACTCACAGACAAGTGTTGTATGGAGGACAACTTAGGAAACACAGCTGGAAATCAGTGAAGGTTATGGGCATCTGGGTTACCTGGGGAGAAGCAGGGCGTGGTGATTCTGGAGAGCGGTGGTGGGTGAGTGAGGAGAGAACCCTGTGGTTTAGCCCATGCCAAGGTCAAGTCTGGGCAAATAAACATGATGCAGACAGGATAATAAAACTTGTGAAATCAGCTGTTAAATTTTTTTTGGCTCTTTCCTAAAGTTATTTACTCTACAAAAAATTTAACTCTATTGTGAAATGGAATATTTTAACATTTTATACAAAGAAATTTGAAATATATACTGTCAAATAATCCCAGTTCTTCAATCACCCAAACAAAGGCTTACTTGTCAAATGTACTTTTAGGAAATGATTCCAACAGGTCTACTGGAGTGGAAATATTTGGAATTGAATGTGAGTCGGATCATCAAGCTATCTTTGGAGACTCTCGTCAGAATATACAGGCATACCTGTAGGTTGCTGATACAACTCAAAGATTCCTGCTAACTTCTGACGATTTCATAGGTAAGGATGCAAAGTAAAGTAAACAGGAAAGTCCTTTGTCTTTTGTAAATTTCAAGTCTTACATCACTTGAAAACCTCTGTAGGTACAAGGTACACAGCAAATCTGTAAAGGCACTTGGCTTATACCCAGGATCCCCCAAAGGAAAAGGTCTGCATAGCCTTATTAAGTGGTTATGTCTCAATGGCATTAGAATTATAATCACTGTTGTTTTCTATACACAGATTTGCTGGCCACAGAAATAATTCTGAAACAACATCATGAAGGGCATGGCTGTGATATTCACCAGCACTATTGTAAACTGATTGACTGCTCCCTTAGTTCCATTTATCATAGAATTACACAATATAGAAGAGTTGTAATGTAGGCAGTTTATTTAAAATGAAGTTTTCACTCTGTCAAATATTCCTAATAACTTTCTTCTCTTGGTGACTTTGACTCAGGAGTTCCCAAGAGAAGTTTACTATGTATATTTGTTCAATCAGTTTGGTGGTCCCAAGTGCAATAATGCTCAGAGAAACTTTGAAAACCTTGTTATGCAAAACCAGAGGTCAATGACATGAAAAGTGAAATAAATTATACTGGTCATCTTTTAAAATCCCTCAGTGTAGAGCAGTGAAAATGAAATGAGTTTTAAAAACAGAGCTATAAGAATTTTAAAATTATGTTTGTGTTTCTGTTTTGCCCTCAAAATAAATTTTAAACAAATTAACTAAAATATTTTAGCTAGGTTCTTCCAAAATAATTTTGACTATAAGAAATATTGTGAGCAAAATGCCATTTATTTCCTACATAGTCCCAGAAAAAAATGTTAAAATTTAGAAAGCTTGATTTCTCCACCATGGAGAATTAGAGGTACAACTGGGAGTATAGAGAAACAATGATACTTTTAATACTCATTTCCACTCTGCATTACTAAGATAATCTATCTATATTATTGAATACAGTCTATTTTTCATGAACATGAACCAACAGGAATTTCTCCAAAGAGAGAAGCAAATTACAAAGTAAAAATCAAGTCAGTATTGTAGTTTGAGTAATGAGTTGCACACCTTTGGCATGTAGGATCAATAAAGTCCCAAACATTTGAATTAAAATATTGTTCATTTCATTAAATTATGAAAATCACGATCATATAAAACATGACTTTAAATATGACTTTTTCTTTATAACACACTGTAATTTCTTAAATGTGAAATTATTTCAAACTTTAAAATACTTGCAGGCATATTTTACTGAACTCTCAAATAATCTTAATGAACATTTCTGATCTTTATATAGTTTTCCACAGTTCAGACGTGAAACCTAATCAATATTTTCCCTCCTAGTTAGTGTGAAGCTAATGAGCACAACCAGAAGGTGAAAGAATGGAGAAAGATCGGTTACCTTCATGAGGTGAGCACCCCAGTGACCTGCACAATGAGCTTCTCCTTATGGGACATAAGTAGGTTGCTTTCCAGGGGAAGCACTGAAGAAAGGCTGTAGTTCAAAGGAAGAGGGCAGACACAGCCTGTGCATGTTCCACTCTGCTCTGACAGTGGAGCTGGATGGGAAGGAAGGTCAGGGTAGTGAATGGGGACACTTAAGACTCAGCTTCAAAAGGAAGGAGAAGAACAGCAAATACTCTGAATTAGCATTAATGTAGGAGTTTGACCCTAATAATGTTGGACTCATGGAATGCAGGACAGTATCAGAAATGGGAAAATTGAAAATTGATGTAATAATTTTACCTAGCTTTGATTCTTTTCCTGGTTCATTTGTACCACTAATGTCATTTATTCACAACATTCTCTCTTTCCAGAAAAGGATGCAGTCTAGGATCATCCATGGTGCTTATTTACCGTGTTACATTCATCATCTGTATACTAAAACAGTGCTTCAGTTTTGTTTTTACATTCATGAATTTGACATTTTAAAGCATATAGGATAATTATCTAAGAAAATGTGTCCTCATCTGGGACTGTGTACTCTTCCCTTATAATTGTTCTTAGCTTAGCATCCTTGGTTTGTGAGCTGTACTTTTAGTATGACCTTCAAACAAAAAGGCACACATTGTGCCTATTCTTATTTGCTCAGAGGGTGAGGAACCACTGATACATTTCTTAGGTTTTCTTTTTGGTTTTTGTATTAAGATTATTGGTACATTTTAGCTACACAATACAGTTACATTCATCATTGGGATCTTGTACAATTACAGGATGTATCTTGATTATTATTTTCCATTCCCCTGCCCTCCCTTCACACCCTTCCACCCTTCCCTATTTACAAAATCTTTGTTTCCATTTTATCCTTTTCTTATATTTTTTCTTTTCCCTTCTTTGCTTTCCCCTACCCCTTCTGCTTCCCCTAGTCTTTTAGACCATTTCTATTTCACATTATCAATAATACATTTGGATCCTTATATACACTTTTAGTTTTTCCCAGCAGAGAAACTATTTGGTATTTACATATGTGTGTCCTATTTATTTCACTTAAGACTATGGCCTCAATATGCATCCACTTAGCTATGAATGCCTCTAGTATCTCATGCTTTATGGCTGAGTAG